CCCCCCAGCCCTCTTCTTCTTTTTTAGAGACCCAGACTCACTAAGTGCCAAGGCTGATCTCAAACTTGTGATCCTCCTGCCTCGGCCTCCTGAGTCACTGGGATCACAGGCGTGACCACGGTGCCCACCAAGCTTTCTCACTCCCTCTCAGCCTGTCTCCTCCTCTGCAAGTGGGGCTGCAGGGTGTTCACTGTGCCAGCCCTCCCCCCATTCTTCCCATCCTCCCGGTGCAGAAGGAACTGTGGCTGTCCCYGTGGTGGCCCTGGGAAGCTGAGGCACGGCGTATATTCCCACTTAGCCAGGCCCTGGGGCTGGTGTCCAGTTCCCGGCTCTCACGAGGCCCCGCCTACTCCAGAGCCCACACCCGGCTCCGCTCTGCGGCCCTGGGTGGGGTGGGACTGGAGAGGGACATGCCCGCCATGGTAACCGGTCAGTTCAACAAGCCTCGCTGACTTGCAGGCCCTGGAGGAAAGCAGTGCTCAGGAGAAAGGCAGAGCCAGGGAGGCCCTGCAGGAGGAGCAGCGGAGGGTCCAGGAGCTGGAGGACCGCCTCGCCCGCCAGAAGGAGGTAGGACTCAGGCCCACCCCGGGACGGGACGCCTCCTGAAGCCCTGATCCTGGCCTGCCTGCTCCAGCACCCTCCTCGGGTGCCGTGGGGAGTGAGGGGACCCGCGCAGAGCCACCTTCTCGCACGGCCACCAGGTCCATTCAGCGGTCACCCTTGCTTGCAGGCTCTGGACGACCGCCTGGMTCAGGAGAGACGCAGGTCCATGGAGGTCCTGGAGGAGAAGGAGAGGAGGCTCGAGGAGCTGGAGGGCTGCCTGGCCCGCCAGAAGGAGGTGGGTGCCCGGGAGGGGCCGCCGGGCAGTGAGCTCAGAGGGGAGCAAGTCAGGACAGGGGACAGAGGACAGGAGACGTGGCATCTTCTGCAAGGAGGCTGAGTCCCAGGCACAGGAAGGGGGGACAGCAGTCATGGGAGTCCAGGCTGCAGGGACCCTGCCCCGGTCACCCAGCCTCAGCCCACACCAAGGAGTGTCTGCGCCCCGGCCAGCCACCAGGTGGGCGCTCTGCGCTGGCAGGAGGCGCTCCCTTTAGGTCGAGTTGGGCGGCACCTTTCTGGCCACCAGAAAGCCGTCCTAAYGGGGCCGTTTGAAAAGGGCACCTGCTCCTGCGCCTGCTCCCCCACAGGCCCGGGCCCCCTGTCCCTGCTCGTCTGGCGGGACTGGAGCCGGAGCCTCTCCCTGGCCCACTGTGCCCTCTGGAGGCTCCCAGATATGTCCTGTCGGACCCAGAAAGTTTTATTCTGGATTCATAAAATTCAGGTTCCCATCCTCTCTCGAGAGTCGGGAAATGTGGCCCCCGTTTCCACCTGGCAACAAGGACCAGCGCGGAACCAAGTGGCAGCAGTCTGCCCCGGTCCTCACCTCCGCCCGCATGAACACATCCTCACTTCTGGCCCCCGACTGGCCCTCCGGGCACTGGAGTTTGCCATCCATCACTAGTTTTCTTCCTAAAGTGTGGCAGCCAGAACCACTCCTCCCCAGCCAGGGAGGCCCAGGGATGTGGGGCCAGGCGCTGCCGCCCACCCTAAGTCACCAGAGGGGGCCTCAAAGTCACCCCTGTTGGAGATGGTCTCCTTCTTTTAATGTGCCCAGCTAGCTTTGGGGAAGCTCTGTTGCATTTTTGATTCATGTTTAGCTTGTGGCACCCTCGGGTYCCTGAGCCCTTTCCATGCCTGCTTCTGTCAATCCCTCCATCCTAMGGCAGCTGAGAGGGGTGCAGGCTTTGCGGCCAGGTGAGATGTGAGTTCGAATCCTGACTGGAGCAGATCTGTCCATACCTCCCTTTGTGGAAGGTGGCTGTGAGGGTTGGACGTGTCCCAGGGAGTGTCTGAKAGAAATGTCACCGAATAAATGGGAGTTTCTATGGTCACTTCTGCCACATCTACCTCTTCCTGTCCACCTCAGAGGGACACAGGAGGGAGAAAGAAGAGGCCCCTGGACACAGCCCTGCACCCCCAGGGGGGTGTTGGCTGTTGGTCCCCCCCCCCAAGCTGTGCTTGTGGTTCTTTGTAAACAGTGTCACTGAGGTGACCGTCGAGTTCTATCTCCAGGGAGGGTGGCAAGAGGAGGGAGGGTCTCCGTGGAGTCACTCAAGTCAAATGCCACCAAGAGGTCAACAGAGGACGGCCCTGGAATTGAGGGACTTTGGGATCACGAGGGACGTCAGAAGCAGGAGTGAAGCCCGTAGCAGATGAGCCAGGGCTGGTGGCCCCAGGTCCGTTGGAACCTCGCCTCCCCTGGCCAAACCTCTCTGTGGCCTCTCGCGAGCTCTGGCCACAGCCTGCATTCAGCCTGGGGCGGGGCAGGGGGACTTTTCTTTTACCAGAAGAGGGCCACGGGGATAGTCCGGGTCGTGAGGTAGGGTTAAGGGTCAGCTCGCCTTCCCTGCTGTGGACTTGGGGGCACAGGGACAGGGTGTGTCCCCTCCAGGTGGCCTGTCCCAGCCACAGAGGAGCTGCAGAGAGCAAGGCCGGGCGCCTGGATGTGGGGTCAGGTGCTGCGGCCGACCCTAAGTCACCAGAGGGGGCCTCAAAGTCTCTTCACGGGTCACAGGAGCACCCCCTACCCTGAACCCCACCTCAGGCCCTCAGAATGACAGTGGGGTCCCTGCCCTGCCACTTCTCGTCTGCTCCGTTGGGCTGGTGTGGGGAAGAGGGCACTGGAGCTTTTAAACCACGTTTTACTGCAAAATACCCAACGTCTCAGGGCTGAGTGCTCCCGGGGGCCGGCCTGRGGCCCTGACTGTGGATTTTAGTGGCAACTGTGTTCCAAGTTCTAAACTCCTGGCGCCCGAGCTGGTGTTGAGAAGGCTGGCCCCGGRGTCGGTGGCCAGAGGCGAGGCCGGCCCGCGGTGGCTTCCTTTGGTTCCTTTGGTGATTGGCTTAAGTCCTTTAGCCAACGATCACTTATCACAAGAGCTTCCTGGATGAATCCTGGACCGGGTGTCCCTCCAGGAGCCCCTGCAGGCCGGCCCCTGCCCCTGTGGAGACTGTCCATCGTGGCCGCTCCCTCCTGGGCCTTGTTCTCCTCTTGAAACCGGGTTCGGCCTAAGAGATTACCCCAAGGGTGGGGACGCCACAGGGGGTGACACTCTCCCGTCAGGGAGGCTGCGGGTGGTGACAGCCAGCCTGGCCMCTCTGCCTGCTGGGTCCTGCCCCGGGCTCGGCGTGCAGCCGCCAGCTTCCCCGAGCAGGGTCCGGGCTCAGTGCCATGAGCCGTGCCAGCCCGAGCCCCCCATCTGTCCCTCCGTCCCTCTTCTATAAAATGGGGCCRCAGAGAGCTCTCCCCACCCGAGTGCCGGAGGACGAGGTCTCCTGAGCCCGGGGCTGCCAGGCCCTGTGTCGTGGCCCTCAGGACTGTCCTCAGCAGCAGGCACCCAGAGGAGCGGCCGTTGCCTTTCAGGTTTTGGAGAGCAGCATAGCCCACGAGAAGAGGAAGGCCAAGGAGGCCCTGGAGTCGGAGCGACGGAGGGTGCAGGACCTGGAGAACCACCTGACCCAGCAGAAGGAGGTGCGAGCCAGAGCCCGGCGGCCCAGAGCTGCAGCGGCCAGCTCAGCCAACTCCTAGCGCCCAGGGGACAGCCGGGCAGCCCTGAGCCTCCCACCCTCGGTGTCYTCACCTATTCAATGGAAACGCGGCCAGCCCCGCCCGCAGCAGTAGGTGTCCCTGGGTTGAAGTGCTTGGACGGCACCTGCATCCCCCCAGCCAGCATCCTGCTCATCAGCATAGCCAGGCGGGAGACACCCCTGCCACGCGGGGGACTCTAGAGGACCCCGGGGCAGGGCCACAGGCGGGGGCCAGGCAGGTCTGTGAGGAGCTCCGATGGAGGTCACATCCAATAAGGGCAGTCGCCTCCTGGGGCAGGTGAGGGGTGCAGCCTCACAAGGACAAAGCCCGGGGGAGGTGAGGAGGGTCCCCAGTGCAGGAACCGGCAGAGAGGACACACCCACCCACCCGCCTGGGGACAGGCCACCAGACATCCAGCCTCAGCAGGAGGGGACAGGCAGGGCTGGGTAGATGTCACCAGCAACCCCAGTGGCGTGTCCATGGGCAGCGGCGGGCAGAGGCAGAGGCCGAGGCCCACCCTGCTGCCCTCGGGGAAGCAGGTGGTGGCTCGGTGGCTCAGTGTCAATCATCATCCATATTCTCTGAGCACCTGTGTGTCGGGCCCTGCTCTGGGGACCAAGGACACCACAGTGGACAAGACAAGCCAGGGCCACGCTGCCCACAGCCCCCGTCCCAGGTCAGGAAGACAGAACCCCAGGAAACGGCCAGTCCCAAGGACTGGCTAGAGAGTGGCCGACACCCATGGAGAGCTCTAAGGAGGTGACCCTGAGTGACAACTGGAAGGGGGATGGGACCTGAGCCAGCCAGGGCACGGTGGGGCCTGGAACTTCAGGGAAGAGCCAGAGAAGGAGGCAGGAGCTCGCTGGGGGAGCAGAGGAGGGGGCCGGGGCTCAGTGGGCCCAAAGAGCCGGCTCTGTATTAGCACGCTGTGCGACCCTGCAAGCCCCTGCCCTCTCTGTGCCCTCGTCCATGATGGGGGCAGAACCACCCCAGAGGCCTGGGGAGAGGAGTCTGTGCTTGCRGGACACCCACCCAGGGAGGGCAGGGTCCAGGGTGCGGCAGGGCAGCCTTGCCACACCTGAGAGGGCAGGAAGGGCAGAGTGCAGCCGGGGTGAGGGAGACGGACTCAGAGACTCKGCGAGGTGTGTTTCCCAAACTAGGCCACAGCTGCCCCAGAGCACYCCTTCCATGTGGGGCCCCGCCAGGCGAGTGCCCAGCGTGCGCGTCCTGCCTTCCGATGGGCCGCGGTGGAAATCGCAGGACCGAGAGGCTGGGTGCACAGTGGTGAGGGCAGGGCCCTGGTGGCCAGCTTCACGCCACTTCCTGGGGGGTGACGGGGACGTCACCTTCCTCCTACTACCTCAGGCACAGCCTCCACTGCCTCACCTCTAAAGGGGGCCCCTGGACCCGGCTGGCAGGGTGGATGCTCTCAAGCATTCCCCACACAGAGCAGGACGCGGGGCCTTGTCCTTGCTGGTCTCATCTGTGCTACGCTGAGCAGCACATGGCATGAGAAGAGACGCAGAACAGGCTGGTGGCCTCTTGGGCAGGCAGGACATGGCAGTGGGTCAAAGTGAGGCCAGAGCCCGGGGAGGGTGGGAGAGAATGTGTGCAGGTGGGGCCTCGGAAGGCTCATCAAAACCTGGGAACACTGGGAACACTGTCTCTTCTTCAGGGCCACGTGCCTCCCAGTGTCCCCACCTCTGCCCCCTGGTTAAGACCTTCCCACCTGCCTGACATTCCCTGCAACAATTTCCATTCGTTCTCCTTTGTGACAAGAGCGCACATCCACTAAAGAAAAGTCAGCAGAGCAGTGGGAAGAGGGAATACAAGTGCCATGGTCCTGGTCCCCCGCCACCCAATGCCCCGTTTACACCTCAGTGACCCTGCTCCAGCCTCTGTCTGCACAGCACCCAGACATTTAAAACACCCGTCTTGTGGCCTTTCTGTTGGTGAGGGCCAGAGCGGCAAGAGCGTCAATGGCAGCAAACAGAGTGTCTCATCCCCGGGCTGGCGGGTCCTCCCCGGGTTGTGCAGGGGAGTCCCGGCCTCCACCCCATGCCCAGGTCTGTGGAGTAAGTGTCCCCAGCTCCACGCTGTCCTGGGCATGAATTCCCGAAACCCACGCCTTGGTATATGGGATGATTCTGCCTGTGTCCTTTGAAGCCAGGGACAGGAAGGGTGGGGACAGGAAGTGTGCCCCGGTGCTGTCTCTCTTCCCACACCTCCTAAGAGCCAGGTACTTCCCAGCCAGGCCTTTACTGGTGCCAACACATGCCAGTTCATCCCRTGGCTTGGCGCCAAATGATATGACCCTGGGACTCACCAGGATGTCATTTCCTGAACACCAGCCCCAAAATCCGGAGTCACTCCCTCCTTCGTRTGCGAGGCTGAGATTTGGCTCCTGGTTGTCGCCCTGCCTGAGGCTGCTCCAGGAGTCCACCCCTCGGCCAGGCCGGMCCTGGCTGCCTCACTGCAGCCCAAACCCCATCCCCCGTCTTCCGCAGAGACTGGCCCTGGCTTCTCTCTGCACTGACGGTCCCCCTTCCCTGCTCACCCCTCGTCCCCTCACCCTTGACTCCCAGATCTCAGACAACAGCATCGCCTACGAGATTCAGAAGGCCAAGGAGGCCTTGGAGAAGGAGAAGAGGAAGGTGCAGGACTTGGAGAACCGCCTGACCAAGCAGAAAGAGGTATGAGTCTCGGTGACCAACGGTGGAAAGGGACCCAGGGTGGCCCTGTGCCCAAGGGCCGGTTCAGATCCAAACTCTGCCTCCCTCTGGCTGTGGGTCATTAGGCAAGTTGCTCACCATCTYTGTGGGACCCATCCTGGGTCCCAATCGTGCAAAGCACACACACGTATGCCACGAGCAGTATCCAGAGTAAAGCAGGTGTCACCTGGTCATCGGGTGAGATTTGCCTAGAGGCAAATGAATCCGAAAGGACTTGGAGCCAGTGGGGACCAAAGAGGGTCCCTAGCTCACATCCATCTTGGGTCATTTACTAGCATGCATCAGACTCTCTGGGGAACTTATTCCAAGTCCCTCTTCAGGCCTCACCCCCAGAGTTCTGACTCGCAGGGCGTAGGGCCGACTCGGGAATCTGCAAGCTCTGCCCAGTGGAGCAGGGGCCCCCTGAACATAGCCCAGGAAGAAGGTTGACGCACACATGCCACCACACAGCCCCTGGGCACCTGGCACATGCACAGAGAAGGCAGAGGTGTGCAAGACCCAGGGCTGCCCACTGTGTGCGGGGAGGGTGCCCAGGCCACACRGGGGCTCCAGGGGAGCAGTCTGTTTGTCCCCAGGCTGGGTCCCCAAATGATGTGCCACAGAGTTTAAAAAAAAAAAAAGGTGTGTATCATGAAATCAATGAATGAGTCATGACTTTATTCTAGAAGTTACTGGGTAAGGCAAAGCCTGTGCTGCCTACTAGGCCAGAACCGTCCAAGCCACAGAAATGGGACTGTTCTTGGTACCGGTCCCAGAGAACCTCTCCAAGGCTCATTGAATGGAACACCCTGTAGAGCAACAAGGACCGTCCTCAAGGACACCCCAGAGGGGACARGGACATCCAAGGGTAGGTCTGTGACAGTCAGCAGCTATCTTCACACCAGACCAGGAGGAGCAGAACTCCACCCAAGGACCCACCATGTGCCTGGAAAGACCAAGGGAACAGCAGGACTTGGGTCTGAGCAATGGTTGGGTTTTYTGTTGTTGTTGTTGGATTTGAACCCAAAAATGAAGCAACAAAAGCAAAAATAGATTAAAATCATCAAAATTGAAAGCTTCTGTATGGCAAGGAAACAACAGGATAAACAGACAACTTGCAGACCGGGAGAAACATACTTGAAAGATGTACATCTGATAAGTGGCAATGTCCAAAATTTACAAGGAACCCAAACAGCCCTGTGGAAAGAAATCACCCAATGAGATGTTTCATAAAAGACAAACAGTGGCCAACCGACACTTGGAAAAAGCTCCATCCACATCACCAACCACCAGGGAGCACAAATGGAGCCCCTGTGGGATACCACCCCACACCCGCCAGAAGGGCCGTTATAGGAAAAGATAACCAGGGTCGAGCAGGATGGGGGGAAAAGGGACCTTGTATACCATCAAATTGGCATGGCCACTTCGGAAAGCCACATAGAGGTCCCTCAGAAAACTAAAGATCATGCTAAGCAAAATAAGCCAGCCACAGCAAAACAGATGCTGTGTGCGCTCCCATACACGCAGAACCAACTCACACAGCAGATCACAGCAAGCTGGGGAGGAGCCTGGGGCAGGCAAGGGGTAGATGTACGCCAGTATCACACGCCTTGGGCAGGAGTAAGCTGGGATTTTTTTTTCTTTTGAGATCCATCGCACCAAGTGATGACCATAGTAAATAATAGTGTGTTGTACACTGCTGAGAGTACATTTCAAATGTTTTCACACACACACAAAAAATAAGTATTGGAAGTGATAGATATGTTAATTAGCTTGACTTCATTATTCTGAAATGACATTCTGCATTATATTAGTCGTTTACCCCATAAATACAGGTGATTATAATTTGTCAATTTACAATAAATTTTTTAAATTAAAAGAATATTTAAAACAAAAAATAGAATTTGACTTTTCTGAAATTCAGAGTAAATCTTTTTTGGGGAGTAGGTTACTGGGGATTGAACTCAGGGACACTCAACCACTGAGCCACATCTCCAACCCTAGTTTGTATTTTATKTAGAGACAGGGCYTCACTGAGTTGCTTACGACTCGCTGTTGCTGAGGCTGGCTTTGAACTCGTGATCCTCCTGCCACTGGGATTACAGGCGTGCACCTCCATGCCAGCTCAGAATAAATCTCTGAAGAAATGAACAGAGAATTTTTTCTTAAATAGGTCACTGAGTATCCTCTGTAACTAAACGTATTTGAAAAGCAGCTTTTACCCCCAACCAAGGTGAATGCAGGCCAACATTTGATATTCAAAATATTTCAATAGGTAGTTAATGAAAATAATTCCATTTCAAAACAAAATGTTCTTTTGTTCTATTTCCAAATTTGTGGATGTGTCTGTTTGAAGTGTGCTTTGATATTTTAAGGTGAATCCTCGCAAGCTCATTGTGATTTGCAACAACTGGTTTCTTTTAATTAGAATTTTTAATCTCTATATGCAAAAAATAATTTAGGAAGTGAGAAAAAAATTATAAGATGAAGATTGGTGTACGACTCCAAATGTCACCACTAAGTCCTGATTCTGAATCCGCGTTTGGGGCCCATCTTCGAAAATCTCCTGGCTGAACTTGTAATAAGTACCTCTAACCAATTTGATATTGCAAATTGCAGATGCTCACGTAACAAAAGGGCCCTCCGGACACACAGGGGGCTTACTGGCGTACACAGAAGGGCAATAGAAAGCTAGATTTCACCTGCAAAGGTAAAACAGACAAAAGAGAGCAGAAAAGCAAACCAGTTTCACACCAGAGGGGCGGTGATGGCCGTGCCAGGCCTCTCCAACCTTGGGCAGAGACCAGGCAGCTTCGTGGCCCACCAGAGAACAGCTGTGCTGGAGGGAGAGTCTAGGGGCGGTGTGAAGAGCCTCCCCAGGAATCAGACGGAGCTCCGCGGGGGCTTGGGGAGCAAGAAGCAAGCCCCAGGGGAGGCTCCGGAAGAGCCTGATGAAGGTGGTGTTTGCATTTCGTTTTTTCTTTTTTTTTTTTTTTTTTCTTTTTTAAGTACGGTTTCCCCTCCTGATTGTCAAAGGAGCCCCTGGCTTCCCGGAACATGTGAAAAATACAAAATCTCACTCCGGAGAAGAAAAAGCTAACCGTGCTGTCACCAGCAGGGTTTTGATGTGATTCCGCCTGGATGCTGAGCCTGATTAGGGATGCAGATAAATAGGGATTTATCATGAAGTCACTGGTTTAGGCACTGATTTGGAAGCTGTTTTTTCTTTTAATTTTGTTAGTTTTGTAGTTGGACACAACACCTTTATTTTATTTATTTATTTTTATGTGGTGCTGAGGATGGAACCCGGGGCTTCGCCTGTGCCAGGGGAGCGCTCTGCCCCTGAGCCCCAGCCCCAGCCGGGAGCTGTTTCTTTATACATAACTAGCTGTCCAAGGGCCTCCGTATTGCCCMACAATCTTCTACCACCCGCCATTGAGGGATGGCCTGGGTGTGCACCGAGTCTGATGGACCCCGATTTATCTGCCCCTCCTCATAGCCAGGCCCTGTGGTTTTCTCCTCCATTTTCAAGGGTATAAAAGACACTGGACTAAACACCCCATGTTCCAGGCTGGACATCCTTGGGATCGAGTCCCAAAAACGGAACTGCTGCCGGGCACAGTGGCGTAGGCCTATGATCCCAGCAACTTGAGAGTCTGAGACAGGAGGATCTCAAGTTCAAGTACAGCCTCAGCCACTGAGCAAGACCCTGTCTCAAACTGAAAAATAAAGAGGACTGGGGATGTGGCTCAGTGGTAAAGCACTCCTGGGTTCAAGCCCTGGTACCAAAAAACAAATAAATAAATAGAACTGCTGGGTCCTAGAATATTAACATTTGCAGATCACAGTGTGTTCCCAAGGAATGTTCCAGAAGGACCATACCCATTCACATTGCCACTGATGAAGGAGAGTGCCCACTAGAATGTCTCAAGAGTATCTGGACCGTCATGTTTGGAAGACTTCACACCCTGCCTGCTAAGAAGCCCGGGTCCACCTTGTCGGACCAGCCACAGGGACKTTGCCCATCCAAGGCAGGAAGAAGGGGTTCCAGCAGGCGGAATGGACGCAGCAATGGGGTCCTATGTGGCCAGGGCCTGGGGGGCAGCGGGGGGGTGGCCATCCCAGTGCCAAAGCCCCGTGGGAAAGCAGAGTGTCCCAAAGGCAGGCCACGCTTCGGAGGGTGAAGGAATTCAGCTCATTTATCCTGGAGAACAGACTTAGAGACTTGGCGGCCCTCCTCGGCTATTTAAAGACTGTCTCATAAAAGAGAAATCAAACGTGTTCCCCGAGCTCCAGGTGTCGGAGGTAAGCCGGGAGACCAGAAGTCCCAAGGAGACAGACGTCAGCTGAGCTCGAGGGAGAGCCGTGCGGTGGGAACCTTCCAGCGAGGCGTGGACCTTGGGCCTCCCAGGAGCGGCCGAGTGGAGTTCCCGTCCTCCCTGAAGACGGCAGGGCCAGGAGGCTAGCGTTGACCCTTAGTGCTGAGTGTCTGCTAATTTGGTGTTTGCTGTTTGTCTAGGAAATAGAATTAAAAGGGCAAAAAGAGAACTCTTTAAATAATAAATTAAGCGATGCACTGGCCGTGGTAGAAGAGATTCAGCAGATCAAGACAGCCGAAAGCCTCAGAGCAGAGAGCCTCTCCCTGAAGCTAAATGAGTCCTTAGCCGAACTGGAAACTGCCAAGACAAAGCTGGTAAGTGGTGGCCTGCAGGGGCAGGGACGGGAGAGAGTGCCCCAGGGGAAGATGACGGTGTCCCTCCCAGCCTCAGCTGGGTGCCTCTTTCCTGCTGGGAGCCACTCTGGGCGCTGCAGGAGGCTCAGTGGCATCCCAGTCTCTACCTGCTGCATGCCGCTTCCCTTCTCCCAGGGGTGACAACCAAAAAATGTCTCCAGATGTTGCCAGTGTCCCTTGGAGGCAGAACTGCCCATTGAGGAACACTGGTGTGGCGTGAAAGGTCACCTGAGGCTGAGGCCTCCTGCAAGTCCTCTGAGATGGGGCAGGGGCTGCACAGCCCCACGGGGAAGGAGCAGGAGCCCGGGACCTAGTGATCCGCGACTGCTCCGCAGACCCTCAGTSAAGGCTTTCAGCTGCGGTGGGTGCCCGAGGCCCTGGCAGACGGGGTCCCGCACTGCTCTCCTCTGTCACTGGCACATCCAGCCAGCAGCTCCGTGGGCGAGGGCCTGATGAGATGAATCTACCGGAAATCCAAGTAGATCAGGGAGCGAGCGGAGAGGCCGGCTCAGGGGGCCACGTGGTGGACGCAGCTGTAGGTCAGATTCACAGGGACCTGGATGCTCAGGGCTGGGGAGAGCCAGGGAAGGGGAGGGGCCTGGCGGCAGGCRTTGCCATGACAGCGCTTGATACAGGCTCCAGCTTCAAGCCAGGACAGCTGGGGCCATGATGGCAGGCGAAGGGCACCTTGGTGGGCACGGGGAGGGCCTGGGTGGGGTCCTCCCAGGGAGCGAGGTGGTGAGGAGCGGCAGGTAGCAGAGCTTAGCGCTGCCCCACTGGCGCCGTTCAGCAGAGTGGGAGGGGAAGAAGGGGAATTGAATCTGGAGGAGTCTCACGGCAGACTGTCGGAAAGTGGGCACAAATGGGCTGTCCCAACAAAGAAGTCACACCTCAGGAGACCAGAGGCCGAGCCCGGGAATAGGGAGCAGGGGCCRGAGAAGCAGGGTCAGTCGGAGAAGCAGGGTCAGTCGGAGAAGCGGGAGGGAGGGAGGAAGGGGCAGAACCACCAAGGAGGGCCTCAGGAGTGGGGGGTCGGATTCGCCGTTCAGAGGCCTTGGTGACTTCTGTTTTTAAGACGTCCCAATCCATTGGCTTTTTTCCTTATAAAATTTTTCATTCATTCATATTGATCAAGAATCTGGGTCTGGATGGGTGGGCCCAGCCGTCAATGAGAAAAGGCAAGTTTCTTCTGCCGCGGAGTTGAGTTCTAGCAGGCAAAGAAACAACAGAACAAGCTCCCTTCAGGTGGTGATAAGGTCTTGGGGAACACTAAAACAGAAAATTAAATAAATCAAATAGAAAGTGTCTCAGACCCCTCTTGTAGATGGGTGATCGGGGAGGGCTCTTTAAAGGGGATGTTGGAGCTGAGACCTGAAAGACCAGAAGGGGTGGATGAGCCATGGGAGGAGCCAGGGAAGGGGAGCATGCCAGGTAGAGGGAACAGCACAAGCCAAGGTCCTGTGGCCAGACCAGCTCAGCCCTGTGTTGCACAAATGAGAACAAGTGTCGACGTCATCACATCCAGCTCCCACGTCACATAACCATTGCCCTGTTTCCCCAGATCATGATGGAGGAGCAGATAATACTGCAGCAACTGACGGTAAAGAGCCTGCAAGACCAGCRGGAAACTCAGAAACACGGATTCGAAGAGGAAATCCAAGAATACAAGGAGCAGATCAGACAGCACTCGCAGACGATTGTGAGCCTCGAGGAGAGACTCCAACGAGTGACCCAACACCATAAGAAAATAGAAGAAGAGATTGCAACCCTCAAGGTCAATAACCCAGGTAGGCCCAGAGAGAGACCCGGGGAGCCCCACGCCAGGGCAGCTCGGGGTGCCGCAGCCCCGCGGCCGGCCGACCTGAGACAGGCTGCACCCACTGAGAAGCTGTCGCGGTGGCCCAAGGCCCTGCGCTTCTTGCTGCACAAGGATGTCAGAAGCCCTCGAGGCCCGGGCGAGCCGAGGCTGGCGATGAGTCGGGACATCTTTTGTGCCGACCCAGTGAGGCGGCGACACACATGCCGCGGGAGCCGTCAGGCGTGACAAGAGCAGTGGACACAGCCGTTCTTGTCCACATGGAAACRTCCCACACAGGGGCCTCTGCAGGGCTGCTCTTGCCTTCGGCCATTTGCCACTTGACTGGAGCCTTGCAGACGCGGCCGGGTCAGCTCCGCACAAGAGAAGCAAAAACGGAAATGGGGGCTGGGTGCCACGTTCCCCCAGTGACTGTTAGATGCTGAGCTCTGAGAGAAGAGGTCTGGGGCCTGGGTTTCTCGGCCTCGGCCCTACTGGCCTTCTGGGCTGGACAGGGCCACCTGCCCTAGTCCTGCTAAGGGTTCCCCGGCCTCCCCGGCCTCCCTGGCTAGATGCCTCCAGACCTTGCTGAATGTCCCCGGAGGAAACTTCCCTCTGGTTGGGACACAGTCCTGCTTCAGTGGCCAGCTGTGGGCACGGGCCCCTGCCGTGGTTCAGCTCTTAGTYGAGCATCTGTTATGTTCCAGGCTCAGCGAGGCTCTGGGGATTCTGCAGGTATGGACTCTGCAGGTCCCCAGGTGGTGGCCCTGGCAGGTGAACAGTGTCCTCTGAGGATGCTCACGCTGGGGCCGAGGGCGATGACATCTTGTCGTCTCCACACTGAGATCAGTGCCTGCCTTAAAGCAGACACCGCACGGGAGTTTGTGGGATGAGAGGGGGACAAGGAGGCGGGGTGGGGGGCTGAGGAGCCAGAGGAGGTGGGAAGAAGACAGGCTGGGGGACCCGGTGCCCCCGCTGTGCCTCCCGCAGCCCCGCACAGCCGCTGCCAGCAGTTCTGTCACTCTAACATGGGCTCCCTGGTCTGTCAGTGGACTTGGGGACACCTGCCTGCTAGCGAAGGCGAAGACCCAGGGCCACTGGGTTATTATGAAGAGAAGAGGCCAATTGGGCTTATGGCCTGATCCAAGGTCTGGGGGGGCCCATCTGGTGATGCCCTCTTGCTGGCAGTCCTGGGGCCACACAGGTGGCAAAGGACGAGAGACAAGAGGGGTGCCTGTGTTTCTGGTCTCTCTTCTCCTAAAGCCACCACTACCAATCTTGGGGGCCACACCCTGATGGCTTGGTCTGATCCTCAAAGGCCCCACCTCTAAACAGCAAGCTCAGGTGGGGATTCACTTGGGCGCGCACCTCCAGGGGTGGCCACCCACATTGTAACCACGGCCTCKGCTGGAGAGAGCCTCCGCCGTGACGCAGAACCCGGGGTGGGTCTCCCAGGAAGGAGGGCAGCCAGGTGGGCCCGTCAGGGGGCCCGCAGGCCAAGGGGAAGGAGGGCATCCACTTCTGTGCGGGGGCCTAATGTGTGTCCCTCTGCTGCAGCTGAAGAGGCAGACATGCCGGARGAGCTTCCCGTGGCCCCCCCATTGGAGAACAGTACCAAAGAGATGGCGTGCGACCACCTGATGTGAGTACCGCACCGGGGAGCTAGAGCAGACCCAGAATCCCCCGGCTTTGGCCAGGTCTTCAGAGCCCAAGTAAAGGAAACRGGTCCTGAGTTTTCTCGATGCCATTATATTACATTTCTCGATTCCTTCAACCAGTCAGACCGTGCAGCAGAAAGGCCCCGGAGGTCTATGTTCACATCCCCACTCAACACTGGTAGCTGTGTGGCCTTGAACCAGTCAGACCACCTCTCTGAGCCTTGGCTTCCTCAGTGGCTGAGTAAGGATGTTGGTGTCTGGCACTTGGTASATTCGTGTTCATGGTATCAGTAGCTGTCTTCCCCGGGTCCCTGCCAGACAGACCCCACTGTCCCCAGCAGACGGTGGAGGTTTCACACAGCAGAGACCACCTAGTGGAGACCTGGAAGGAGTTCAGAGTTGAAGACCTGGACTAAATGACCTTGACCAGTAACGACCCTGCTCTCCCGACTCAGAGTGGAGGACCCTAGAACTTGTGCCCTCAGGAATGGACGGGACAGATCCAGAAAGTCACCACCAAGCAGCGTGTCGACATGAGGCAAAAACATGACTCAGAGCCGGCACTGGGGAAGCTCCTCAAGGTGGCAGGCCACCCGCTGACCCTGCCACCAATTCCACTCACCAAAGGCAGTGTCCTGGGTTTTCACCCCAGGACAGGCAAAGACAYCCCGTCCCCACATGGTGACAAGTTCTTGACTGTCTGCTGTGGGAACTCTACCCGGCCCAGTGGCCACCGCTGGCAGAGGCCAGGCAGCCACGTGGCTCAGGTGGTCACTGCGTTAGTGTGCATGGTCACTTAAGTTGTGAACTTCTCAGTGTGGCCAAAGACACGGTTCCTC